TTGGACAGATTGAACCGGAACTGGTCTATATCCTTGAGAGCATGCTAAGGTGTCATCACAAAAGACTACGATCGACATTTTTCATTTTGAAGTTATTGACGACATCAATGCCTTCAACGACTATCCCTGGGGTTAGAGCCATTTTGATGACATCGTGCACGTCTTCACCATATCAAACTCGAAGTCCAAAGGGGCGTAAGTACAATACTTATGGATTTTCCCTAACAGTGTAGGTAAGTGTTTCACATAATCAGGGTTAAAATATTTTTTATACTTAATTTATATATAATAATTGTATGTGTTGTAGATCTTGGCGTATGAGACTGTCCTCCTCTTAGGTACCTGATTTGCAAAGATGGGGGAGACATATTGCCCTCGGATACATCATTGGCGAGCATCCCGAGCAGACAGTTGTCCATCTGGCAGGCAGTTATCAGCTCTCCTCGACGACCCTCAGGTGAGTATTTTACATTTGTGATTTATGTTATATGTTATTTCAAAATCTCAACACATGGTCATTAACTAGTTGAAATGTCAATATGTTGCTTGAAGTCCTAACTGAGTTGACGCCGTTGACGAAGGAGGAGGGTCGAGATTTTGTGCATGAAATAGCCGTTCTGGATACTCAAGACGATAAGATGCCCGATTCCATCCTGGACTGAGATTGGATATGTGAATTGAATATAATTTATTGATTACCATTTTGTTTGAGTTAACCTATTTTAATTAAGTTAATAATTTTTAATGTTGTTATTTGTATAGGAGCGCGATCCAGTTGATCAACGATCTCCTTCATCGATAAGATCTCCTTCTCCTTCATCCAGATACCTCCCCTATGGATCTCCTGCATACGGTCAGAGTTATCATTTCGATGATCTGTATGTCTGTCTGACTGGATTTATGACGGAGGTGGTGGGCGCGTAACGACGAGAGTTGAGAAATGAGGTGGGTGCGTTACTAGAGGAGGTAGGGGTGCTACGACAAGAGTTGAACGGTGAGGTATCAAATTTATACCATGATGTTGTTGTGTTACGAGGCCATATAGCAGACCTTCAGGATGAGATCGCAGTGCTCCGAGGCGATATAGCAGGCAGACATGGGGGTGACGGACATGGTGATAAAGAAGGGACGGAGATCAGGGTTACGCACTGTTGTGGACAGATGATGGTGTATTAGAATCATTTTTGTTAATTGTGGAGTAGGAGGAGATGGTCCCGATGGGGACATAAGAGGTGGCGAATGAGAGGACGGAGGGGGTGGCGGTCCCCGGGACGGAGTGGGTGGCCTCGATGACGGAGAAAGTGCTCAGGACGAAGGGGTGATCCCGATGACATTGAAGATGGTGAGCTCCGATGTGGATGTGGCGGTTGTCCCCAGGGCTGAGGGGGTGGCAGATGAGGAGATGATGCTCTTCGTGACAGAGGGTAAGATGCGTACCGTTGACGAGCAGGAGCAGGTTGTCGGTAAGAGGTCGAGATTGATGTCACAGTATGTCGTTTCTCCCTTAATGGTTGAGGGGAAGAGGATGACGTACTTTGATGGGAGTGGCATGTTCGCAATAAAGTATATTGAATTTTTGGAGGAATAAATTAGCATGAGATTTGTATGAATTCAATTGTGATCCGTAAATATTGTATATTTAATTGTGAAATAATTGTAAATATTATATATTTAATTGTGAAATAATTATAAATATTGTAAAAAAATGTTAATATTGTTCATTTAACAGCGATACAATTACACATCCATCTAATGTCATTTAGGAGAATATGACTAGTACAAAATTGGCGAGTATGCCCTGTTGCTCTACACATGCAGCACATACGCGGACGGAAAAACTCTCCAGTAGATAGTATTCTAGACGTATGTGGACGTCCGGACCATACGATTCAACTTCAGGTTGCAACAAACTATTAAGTTGGAGAATATGGTCTAGAACTTCCTACTAGGCTTCATTTGGTTGAGGAAATATAGTCTCAGCATACACAGCTCTCTAAGAGTTTATCCTCTTGAACCGGTGCTAGAACGCTCCTGCAACTCTGTGATTCCGCACGTCGGTCGTGAAATAAATGTGGCAGCTTGTTACGAATGTTCTCATTCAATGCGAGGATTGGTAACTCTCAATCCTTCTTGAATAATGCATTGAGAGACTCCGCATTGCTTGACGTCATCATATTGTATCGATGTCCAGAAAAATGTGACCGTGCTTAATGTTCAGTCCCCATTTTTGTTAGATACTCTCATACTTGGAATGATTTACTTCATATTTCCACTACGAACTTATTATACTCTTTAACACTATAAGCTTCGGCCGCTCTCTTGAACAATGAAACGATGTCTTTGCCCCGATACTTAGTTTTTAGGTTGCCTTGTATATGATACATGCAATACCCATGATACTATTTATTATGGGTGGTCATCAATCAGTTACAAAGGCAAGGTCATCGATTTTCCATATTACTTCCCTCAGCTTTGTGAAGAATCAATGAATCGACAGAACATTCTCGCTATCGACTATGCCGAATGCAAATTGGTAAATTTGAATGTTGGCATCTGACATATAACAATGATTAACTTGTCTTCGTATTTAGCGTTCAGAGTTGTACCATCAACTAGAATTAGAGGTCGCATCGCATTTCGAAATCTTCGAATGCATCGTCCCCCGTCTTTATAAAAAATGTCGAGCCAAGATTAGTTGTCACCATGTTATGGCAATACCTGACCAATTTAGCATAGCTCTCCTCGGTCAAGCCCATTAAATCCTCCAACGCGCATTATTTAGCCTTCCAGGCCTTTCGGTAGCTCATGACCACTTCGTACTTGACGGACGTAGTTAATAATGTCTGAAGGTCTGTAGATTGTCCGTAAATCCTGATACTTGTATTATCCGTCGACCAATAAACCATACACTATGATCATTTTGACGAATTCTCACTTCGCAAGTATGTTCCCGTTTATACTTGCAAACTACAAATAACCTATTCATGTCCTTCTTCACCGCTCGCAAATGCCAACGGCAACTATCGTTAATGCAAATAATTGTCAACAATGACTTGTTTGATTTCTTCACTTTGAACTCAAAATTGTATTTCAGTACAATTCGGTGCACAAATTCTTGCAAATCTTTCTTTGTTTCAAACAGTTACTCGACATACAAATCCTCATAATCAGGTACCACACTCGAAGAATTAAATGACAGCCCACTCAATCCAGCCCCTGTGCTCCGCCCCACGCATGTCTCTAATGGGATAAAGCAATCAAATTCTCATTTGGAAATTCATTTTCATTATCGTTGTCGCAAACTATCGACGGAATTCGGTACGTAACAATTAGATCACGATGGAGAACAACTGTCTCGGGAATAACCACATCATCCTCACGAGCTATCTCTACTATATCTAAAAAATCATTGGAATTGTGATTCCCTCCATCCGAATCTTCGTGTTCACTTTCAGCGACATTCTTCCTCACTAAAGTCACGTAAAGAGTAGTCGTGTCCATATTATTCAATTCAAGTGGATAATTCACTTTAATATCAGAAGTAACATTCATATGTAGAATCGGAATTGAAGAATACTTGTAGAAATGAAATCTCAATTCCATATCGTACTGAGAGGGATCGATATTTAGCTTGTTTTGTAAATTATGGTACATCTCGCATATGATGTACTCGATGTTATGAAATTTTGAATATCACCACTATATCACTCGTCAATTTCCATACCAATCGATCTTTTTCATCCAATTCAAAATCATCTAAGAGCTTGTTTGGAAAGGATTAAAATTCAATTAAAATTGAAAATATAGCCGTTATTGGGTCCCACTCGTCTAATAAAAGTCAACTCCAACGGTTATATTTTCAATTTTAATCTGATTTTAATCCCTCTCAAACAAGCTCTTGTTGTTCTATTAAAAGAAAAAAAAGTGTCGAAAAATTGGCTAAATCACTGAACAAAAGAAATTTATTCAAAAAAAAAAGTTAAGCATGCTATGTTAACAATAGGTCTAGCTGCCTAAGGATGTTAAATTAACAGTTGGTAGACCATTAAAGCGATTGAAAATTAACATTGCCACGAATCTAGTCTGAAAGAATATACATGCAAATGATTTTTTTTTTTTTTTATTTGTGCTTAAAAAAATTATAGATCTAATAAAAAAAAATTACATGTTAATCTATGTTGAAATAAAATTTATAGATTAAAAATGTATACTAATTTAACGAAAACGAAATTAAACATACCTAAATATACTTATCGATTCGAAGTGATTGATATAAAAAAAAAAAAAATTCTTATTCAGCGTTCAATAAATTTCTGAAATTTTGAGGTTGAAATAAAAAAAAATGAGAAAATTTTCATCTGTATTGTAATAAACAGATAAGAAAAGTTATCTGATTTTGAAATTTTAAGTTTTACTTATTAACTAAAAAGATAGTATTGCCTTTTAAACAAAACAATATTTTATAATTATATAACACACTTAAGGACATCATTGTCTTTTTAACATCCAAAAGATCATCGTGAAAATATGCAATTATTGAAAATTTTAAGTAGAAATTAGCGGTTTGACCAAGCCATTTTTAAAAGTACCCCTGAATTTCTACTAATCAAAGCAGAAATTAGTAACGAAGGTAACTCAACGACCAACTTAAATAAAATACATACTTGGGTTAGCATTTCAAAACAAACTAAAATGAGTGACTAAACTGATGCGCACTACATATTCAGCGAAGCAATAACTCGATAGAAAGAAACGCCTCAAAAAATAATTTCAACATAAATATAATTCCATAAAATTTTAATGCCAATCAAAGCAAATATTCATGTTACACTCGAAGATATATTATCCTGCTTCACTTTTTGCAAATCTGTTTGCGGCTTTAGACCATTATAGCAGCTTTCAACAGCAAGTGAAGGAATTGTCATTTCTCCTCCTCCCAATCAGTAGGATAAAGATAATTGATACCACAAAATCATTTTAGATCATCAAGCACAAAGAGATTAGTGCATTTTGTAATTTTGTGTTCTTGAGACCTGGCAATGTCGTCCATTCAGCGAATACTTGAGCATTATATCCACATCCCGAGGATTCTTCTTGTTAGGTGCAACAGTCATAGTTCCTACGACTGCCTCTCCTTGGCATATAGTCAGCACATCTTCAAGGTAGAGAACTGTTTGTTTCCAATGAGTAGCTCGTGACTTGGGCCCTGCACATCGAGTACTAGTCATTGTTGGAAACAGAAATGTTATATTTAATACATTGTGTTTAAAATGGTTTATCAGTTCATGCTTTGAATCCAAAAACCAACAAAGATGAGCAATGGTGGCAAAAACCATCTGTTTCTCCAATAGGTTTAACATTGGTTTTCTAGTCGAGAAAAGCAAAACCTTGTTCTCTAATGATGGTCAGTCCTCAAAAGAAAAAAAAATTGAGTTCCTTAAAGTAATTATAGGAGAATCAGAATTACATTTTACACTATGTCATAGAAGGATTCAGGGAAAGTACAATTACAAGAAACACGAGAATTCTACCGTTAACTAAAATAGCAAACAAAGGAAAAAAATATCAAACCTGTAGAGAAGCCCAACAACTTATGACATTTAGTAAAAGAAACATCGAAATAAGCAACAAGAGCATGTATGTAGTCATCGCGTTCTGCCACAAGTTTAAAAGGTGCAGTGAAGGAAGCATCCTCCAGAGCCATCTTAGAGATGTCCATTGTCTGTAAAATTAGGACATGGAACCGGTTTAGGACACTAACAAAAGATTTCAGTGTTCCATGTTAGACTAAAAAAAATAAATAAATAAATAATAATAAATTAGACTTGACAACAGAGACGAAGTGGAGAAGTCAAACCTTGAGTAACTGGCAGTTTGTAACAATCTGTTTCTGCTCCACAGTGTCAACAAGAGGTTCCGATAAGGCTTGCTTCCTAATGCAGCTCATGTCAAATCCGTACACATTGTTCCAAACTGTAAAGTGAAAAAAAAAATAAAGACCAAGAAGATAAAAGTGTTTGTTTGGGAAATATTATAAGTTGCTGAAATTATAATTGATAGAAATGAGTGGTGGATAAGTGGGAAGTAGTTACGGGTCCTACAATTTGTGTGGGGTTAAATGAAGTTGGACTTAAATACTTTTAAATTATAAGGAGATTATAATGTAAAACAAACAAGCACAAATTAGAACAAATAGAAGTATACTGCAACATCAAAACTGCCGCTACCAATGGAACCTACAGACCAGACAGAGAATTTGAACACACCCTTGTACATGAACGTGAAAGTTTAATATCATATCAGTTTGATAATAATCCATGTGCCAAGTGTTTAAGCTCACATTCGATCTTGTCTTCCTTGTAATCAGCATCTTCAATTGCGGTCAAATGAAGGGAGGCCCTATCTGGCAGGACAAGTCCATCTTTGACCTGACACAGAGCAAGGTACAATAATAAAAATCTTTACAGATTGAGTTGGACAGTTTTCCAGAATTGTCTTACCTACATGCTGCTTGCTAGCATTAGGAAACCAATCCATAACTAAGCCTCTGTTTGGTAGGCATTTTTGTGGAGAGTGCATTTTTTTGGTTGATGTGATGGAAAATATGTGGTTGAAAAAGAAGGAAAAATTATTGATGTGATGGAAAATATTATTTTATTGAATAATGTGTGTTTGAAAATGAGTAGAAGAATGAAAATGGAAAATATAATTTGGCTCAAACAGGGGCTAAGTTGTAAACCATGAGTTTGAAATCTTAACAGCAACTTACCAGCCACTTGTCACGAGCGTACAGGACAGTGTTCAACATGTTTTCATAGACCAGAAAATACCCCATCCACTCAGAAATTATAATATCGACTTGAGCAACTGGCAGCTCGATCTCTTCAATCTTTCCCTTAAGAACTGTTATCACTGCAACAACAAAAGTAATACAATTGACTCCATAAGACCGATCAAATACAATGAAGAAAATGATGCAGAATTCAGGATCTTTTGGACACAAAAGAGAGTTACCATTTGAAAAATTGTTAAGCTTTACAATTTCCTCGGCCATGTCCGCCATGCTGGAACATTCGACCTGGATTTGAAGAAGGTATAATCAGATATTTACTTAAGAAAACAAAACTCAATCCAGATGACATACAAAGCAACTATCAAGGTAACTTTACAAGCAGATGTACAGATAATCTCATCAGCATTCAATATGTTACATAACATCAACAAGAATATTCCGCACACCTATTTCCTAGTCAAAATTACTACAGTTATTTCACTAACTGTAAAACTCTTTGAATTAATCAGATTATTAAAATGTAAAGATAAACTTGGCTTGTCATGTAGTAATACAAGATTATGACCCAATTTGAAAATAATAATGCAAAAATCAGAATTTCACAACCCACTTATATGATGAAAGCATAAGCATCAGTTTCTCATGCATAACAAAAAAATGCAATCTAGATATTTCATCAAGGGAGATTCATGACAAAGTGAATATCGACCATCAAACAGAAATACACCTTAAACAACACATCATCCATGAACTTAGCATGCAATGTACCAAGGAACACCACTTCAATTGCTACATAACTGAAGTTCTATGGAGGCAAAAAGGTCTAAAAGACACTGATTTTATTAACTTTATACTAGAGAAGTCGTGAAGGTTTCTATTCATCCAAAACCTTTACCCCGAGCACACACAATGGAACCGTAGACAGTCAAGTGCAATCCAATCCAGTTAAGAAACAAGTCAAGGAACTCCTTGGACCTTCGAGTTTCTGGATGCTGTGAAAACAAAGTAACCTTGACAAATAAAGTGCTTTCAATTCCTAAAGAAGTCCCAATCATGAATCTAATATGTTGTAAGGAATGAATTTTTAATATCATCCAGTCGCTAGCAACTTAGTTATTGGTAAATCCCAGTACTAAATATCTCTAGAATGGTAGCTAGCTAGCATTCAAGTTCACCTCCATATTACTTTGCCCATTTTCAAAAATAAATGAACAATGACGAGATAGAAAAGTGACTCTTTGGTCATTTGCAGAGGAAAAAACTCAAAAATTGAGCTGGACTTATTATAAGAACTTGACAAGATCACATGAACTACGGGAACAATGATTCAATGAAACAAGAGAATGCATACCGCATAAACATGCTTAGCCCCAGCTTTAGCACAGAAAAGTGAGAGGATTCCTGTCCCGGCGCCCACATCAAGGACTACCTTATCCTTGAAAAGGAAGGGATTCTTATAAATAACTGATTGGTATGTTTTAGTTCTTACTGCATCCTTCAACATTTCCTGCATTGAGTATTTCAGATGAATTAGAGCTAAAATTTTGGGATAATATTTCGAATATCAAGAGTTTCAAGACTATCAAGCCTCCAACCACAAGATAAATGTCATAAAAGTAAACCTAAACAATAAAGACGTTTTATCCCAGTGTGAAAATCTAGTGAAAATATCCAATTATAGCCCCTATATCAATCCGCTGAAGAAAAAAATAACTTTTTTTGGCATCGACTCTGGTCCCCAAATTTAATAAAGTCCCATAACATATTTCCCACTTCTGCCACAAATCTGACCAAGTGTTGAATTGCTTTCCCATCACATTGCAAAAGATGAAAAAGCCCTTATTCATGTTATTGGGGAATTTTATGTCAGGGGTTTTCTGGTCATTCAAACCTCCAAATCAAGGGTAAAAATGGAAACAAAAACAGAGGGGGAACATTGACTTTCCCTTCACAATTGAATGACGGGTGCATAATCACTAAATTTACGTGGCTTTAAAAGGAGATGAGCAAACACAATTCACTGAAAAGGAACTGTTACAAAAGCATAAATCCACAAGCTTAACATCCAATTTGGATACTTACTTCATGGATACCTGCAAAAAAGAAGCAATGAAAGAATCATTATTACTTCTTCGAATTGCCTTCAAAACATCATTAAAACCCCAAGCAAGAAAAAAAAAATTCTAACTTTCATGAACCTTCAACCTTTTATCATCTACTTTTATCAAAAATCCCAGCCTCAACGAAAGTTCATACTGTGATAACATAAGGGAATAGTATTTGCAAGAAACCACAGAATGTGCCAATTGATTTAGAAAGAGAAAAGTCTAAAGCGTGATATATATGACGTGAGAATAATAAAAATTTATATATAAATGTAGCGTCCGTACACAACTGATAGCATTACTTGGGAAAAGTAGGATCCTAGCAGCTCAATTAAAGGGAAATCCGAGAACCATATACACACAAGTTCTATAGACACTCAGACAGTTAATTAAAAATCAATCATGCTACATGTACATCTTTTAATGTACACCAAGTGTGTACAATTAGTTTAATCCATTAAGAATGGTAAAGGGGAAACAAGACATCTTAACATAAGGGTGAGCCTATCCCTTAACAACCCTCAGCCTTTTTTAACATCCTAGTTCAAATTCAGAATAACAAGTCAATATCAGCCGCCAAAATGCCCTTTTTTAACACCCTAAACATTAACTCCAACTAAAGGGTCCCCCGAGAAGGAACAAAATTTTGAATTTTATCCTGACTGCACAACATCTATACTAGATCAGCATCTCAACTATTTAAGACCCACTCACGCATTAAACACAGCAAAAATCCGAAAATAAAACAATTTAGGGAAAGAACAATGCATTACCGAAGTGCGAGTAGGAATCGAAATAATAATCGGCGCTAGTCTTATCGCCATCAATCGCGGAACCATCCGGCATGCACATGACAGAGTCTTCCTCCAGATTCGAGCACTCAGTGGGGGCTTCTTCGATGATTTCATCCTCTATGTATTCATCATCCTCGCACTCGAGTCTGATTTTGGTGGGTTTATCAGTTGTGGAAGTGGAGTTTAGGCTGTCATTAACATCCATATTCTTGTTGATTATATTTTCGTTTGCAGGGAGGAGTTTCTCGACTAGGGTTTAACGGATCGTCCGTGAAGGGGATGGAATGAACAGGCGACTCGAATTAGGGTTTATGCTTTCAATTTAGAGTTAATTGTCCCAATGGTCTCTCAAATTGTGTCTGTGTCATAGATTGTTCACTCAAATTTAAAATGTCGAGTTTTGGCTACTAATTTTATCACAACGTTGAACGTTAGTCACTAACATAACATCTGTTTCAATTATTTAATTGAATTAGTGAGGTTATCAACGGAACAATTCATCATCAAATCTAGCCATTGTTTGGCCCCCATTAAATTATATTACATTAAATTAAATTTCTCTCTCTCTTCATTTCAACCACATATTCTTCCAATAAAATAATATTACACACAAATCTAAAACTTTTCATAACTTTTCCATCACATAATCTCCCATCAATCACTATTCTAAAAATTTCATTCTCC